TGCCTTCAGCCCCATCTGTGGGAGAAGGGTGAGGTATAAACCTAATAAATTAATACATTATATTATTTATTGCCCATATATTACAATGTGTGGGGTAGTGGATACAGTAATAGACTAGGGCTCAGAGGACTTGGGTTTGATTCTTTGGCTCAGCCATGGAAACTCACTTTAGGTGGATGGTGGAACTGGTGAAACCATTATTTAAATACCTCACTTACCTTGAAATCCCTTTAGGGTTGCTAAATCAGTTCTGACTTGGCAGCACATAACACAACATTTTTTGTTGATAATCCTTGAGGAAAGTCTTTGTGAGGTCAGAAACATTTGGACTTACAGTATAACAAAAATAAATCTCAGTAACCTGGGAGACAATCTCTTTTTCTGGAATATCTGGTGGATGTTTTCTTTATTTTATTTTTTTTCTTCTGGTCATTAAATAAACATATTCTCAACAACAAACTGATCAATTTAAACTCACCAGTAGTTCGGCCAGATGCATATAGAGAAAGAACTGCCTGAATGGCTACATACATTGCTGGTACATTGAACGTTTCAAACATGATCTGTAGGCAGGAATATGAGAATTTTAGGATGCTCAGCCATGAGAAAAGAATGCAGCAGTGCTCTGATTACCTGATTTTAGATATCATTTTCCAGCAGCAATATAATGCATTTATTTTTATTTATTTATGTATTTATTTTATTTATATCCCGCCTATCTAGTCACTTAAGACCACTCTAGGCGGCTAGAACATGATCGTTTCAGGAATTCCAACTGTGCACAGATTTGTCTCGTCCAAGATGGATATCCAATCTCTTGTCCTTGTTCAGAAGAACATGTTTTAGCTAACTGATATGTAGCCACATTGACTGGGGAGCAGTTGATGTTCCCCAGCCCCAGCCTCCCATGCAAGACTGGAGATAACACAGGGATTCCACCCCAGCTACCCTGCCCTATGTGCCTTTCTGTTTGGATGACATTAAGTCAGGGGAAGGCTACCTCCAATGCTTCTGTGAACCAGATTCCATCTGTCCACTTGGCAGATTAGGCTGGACACCGCTGGAAACAAGCAAATGGGCCATGTCACCCTTTTCCGGCCTGAATCTGTCCTGATATCTTTATCTACAACACATATCAGCCCAATCCCAGTGACCAGTGGTCAGAGATAGATCGGATTTTAGGCCAAAACATCTGGAGGCATTAAGTGGGCTAAATTGACGTCTACTCGTGTTTTTCGTAATTTTTTTTTTAAATAAAGGGTGCTAGAATCTTTTAAAGGAAATTTCTATATTTCTGTATCACTGTATGCTTCATGAAAATATCCTATGTAGAACATATCGGGGGGAAAGGATATATGTGCCATCTCAAGTGTAGCTCAGGGGTCAAACCACCTATATGATATAAAAGTGTGGGGATACAAAAAATCTCAATCTGATTTCCTGTAAACAATGGAAGGTAAGAAATTACCACAAACATACAGTTTCCTGAGTTTCCTGGGTCTTGGCTTTTTGTAAACAATACAGTTTCCTGGGCCTTATCATATGTAAAAAGAACTGGTAGACCACTTTCTTATAATATGCACAGGATGCGTACTGGAAGAGGACTGGCGCTGAGGCACTGAAGAAACTCCCTGCAAGAAATTTCTCCCCTAAATGGAATAAAACAACATATGGTGGTGGTGGTGGTGGTGGTGGTGGTGGTGTGTGTGTGTGTGTGTGTGTGTGTGTGTGTGTTAGTAGGATGGAAACCTATAAAAATGAGTCTTTTTTGTCTGTTTTCTTGAGACACATTATTGTTTTGTGAGCACGAGCTCCATGTGTATCTCTTGTTCTGCAGAATAAACCCTTTCATAAGACCTTGTAAGTGTCAGTTCTGAATTCTCTCTTTTATTTGGGAAATTGACAACTCACCTAGAATTCCCAACCCAATTTTGGTAACAGAGTAAATGTTAGGAAAGAGATTCTTCTCTTACAGTGAAACTACAAGTATGTTCAGTGGAAGTTTTCAATTTGCAAATGATGAACATTTTGTAAAAAACTAAAAAGTAAACTAAGCAAATATATATACAGTATAACATTGCATAACAAGGAAGCAGGCATGCTTAGTTTACAGTGAAACTGTATTCCCTAAACTGGTTCTTCCATATCACAGTGCTTTCCAGTCTTGATGTTGCTGGTCTGCATTACGTATCATTCCTGGCTAATAACTATGCTAACTAGGGATTTGGGGTGGGGGGGGCACGTAGAAGTTCAGTAAGGAATAAGGAACACGAAAGCTGAGTATGGACTGAAGGCTAGAATTGCTCCCAAACACTTTACCTCCTATCTGAAAGTTGTGCAGGTGCCTTACTTATCAATATTGGCATTATTTAGCCAAATAATGGGACTGGTGCTTTGATTGTTCCATAGTAAAAGAATGTCAGGTTTTGCTTGAAATGCAGAAATCTGGACTTGCTGCATAAACAGTCTAACCTTTTCTAGTGCTATTACTAGCTTCTTTTTCAGTTTTCCCCATTTAGCTGAGCAGTCTCTTTTCAGACAAGACCTCTAAATTTGGTAATTCACATTCTTACAAAATGAGCAGCTCAGCAGTATACTTTTCTCTGAGAAAAGGTGGTGACTGCCATTTCATTATCTGTCTCCACCTCTGAAGTGTAACAGGCCTTACAGACCTATTAGGAATCATTTTGCCTGCAAAGCTGTGAAATTTCCCTTTGGCAGAGTTGTCACACTCATTTCCATAGAGGGGAAAAGTTCTACTTGAACAATGATGAGATATTTTGGCAAGGTGATGACCTGTTTTCAGGAGGAAATTGAAACTGTTTATAAATATTTCCTAATATTTTAGGGTTTTTTGTTTTTTGTTTTTTCATTTTCACTTCTGCTTCCTTGGAAGTCTCAGAATACAGAACAAAATACCATCACCCATCTGCATCTGGTAAAGCACATCATGTGGGCTGGCCCTAAGATATTTTATTGCTTGAAGCAAAGAATAATATAGGACCTCCTCTCATTCCTTCACAAAAGTTGTTTGGACTAACAATGGAACTGAATCTTTCTTCAACCTTAGTAATGGGGACCCACAGAAAAATATGTTGTCTAGTAGGTATGATACTGCATAATGTCTTATCTGGTACAGACTGTCACAGAACGCAGAATAATGCCAAGATTGGTATTTAGGGACTTAATTACAAAGACATTTCAAAAGAAGGGCTCAGCAAACAATAGGAAAATCTGGACCAATACTATAAAACACATTTCTCACAAAAGTGTAATACAACATCCCCAGATAGCTCAATTGTTACCTATTAATCCTGTATGCAATCATATTGCTTTCCTACACTGAAACTGTTGGTTTCTTTTTGAGGTAAGAGCAGCCTGACTTGAAGACAACAATACCCAAACCATTACCTGAGTCATTTTTTCTCGATTAGCCTTGGGATTTAGTGGAGCTTCTGTCAGCAACACAGGGTGTTCTTCTGGGGCAATACGAAGTTCGTTGTAGAAGGAGTGATGCCAAATCTAAACAAGACAGGTGGCATAAGGTAGACAGTGAAGCCATGTGTGTGTGTAGAATTGTATTTATGTACGTGGGTTTGTTTGTTTTTGTTTTGTTTTTACATTTTTATCCCCCCCCCAAACTAGTAGCAAAGCTACTACTTTGAGTGGCAAAACACAACCAAAAACAACAAAAATAGAAAGTAATAAAAGACATTGGTAAAGAAAAGTTCCAAATTCCAGGGCCATGATAAACATGAACCAACATGTGCAATAATCTAACAAGCCCATGGACTGCAAACACATTCACAGGAGGTGAACCAAGAGGAGAAAATAAGATTACTTTGGGGCAAACTAAAGAAATGCTTGGAGAACAACGAGGTCTTAAGTTGCTTCATGACACCCGCAAGGGATGGGGCTAACTACACTTCTTGTGGAAGGGAATTCCAGAATGAAGCAACCACCACATAAAAAGCCAAATTATGGGAGGATGACTTCCAGGACTCCCCCAGGAATAGCCACCTGGAGCATTCCCATATAAGAGGTCCAGGTGGGATCGGTAGATGTTTTGAGGGAGAGGTGTTCATACAGGTATCAAGGTCATCAACTGTGAAGGGTTTTAAAAGCTAAAATAAGCACCTTAAATGTGGCCCAGAAGCATACAGGCAGGCAGTGTAGATGAGCCAGGAGAGGAGTTATATGGTCTTATTGGGATATTCCAGGGACCATCTTGGTACAGAACGTAAACATAGATCTTACCCTGTCCCATAGCCTTCTGTCATGTGCAACAAATATTTCTGATAGTCACTGCTACTGTTAGCATAAAATTGAAAAAATCTGAAAAAAAGAATTGTTCCTCTACATAAAGATGTCTTAGGATATAAGAAGATTATAGCCTCTGGAATAACCTTCCTCCGGCGATTCGTGCAGCCCCTACGGTGGGTATTTTCAAAAGTCAATTAAAAACATGGTTATATGTTCAGGCCTTCCCTTCTGTCGATACTTAACTTTTTTTTCTCTCTTTTTTCTTTCCTTCCTTATCTGTTTATTATTATATGTGTCAGATTGATTGTAACACTGTTATGTATTATAAATATTTTTATTGGAAGCCGCCCAGAGTGGTCGACCAGACCAGATGGGTGGGATATATATATAACATACATACATACATACATACATACATACATACATACATACATACATACATACATAAGATTGCCAAAACCCTAAAACTGAGCTGCAGCACGGTGGCCAAGACCATAGAGTGGTTTGACAGGACAGGTTCCACTCGGAAAAGACTTCGCCATGGTTGACCAAAGAAATTGAGTGCCTGTGTTCAGTGTCACATCCAGAGGTTGTATTTGGGAAATAGATGTACGAGTGCTGCCAGTATTGCTGCAGAAACTGAAGGGGTGGGGTGGGGTCAGCCTGTCAGTGCTCAGACTATATGCTGCACACTGCATCAAATTGGTCTCCAGGGCTGTCGTCCCAGAAGGAAGCCTCTTCTAAAGATGATGCACAAGAAAGCCCGCATACGGTTTGCTGCAGACAAGCAGACTAAGGACATGGATTTCTGGAATGAGACCAAGATTATTTGGTTCAGATGGTGTCAAGCATGTTTGGTGGCAACCAGGTGAGGAGTACAAAGCAAGTGTGTCGTGCCTACAGTCAGGCATGGTGTTGGGAGTGTCATGGTCTAGGGCTGCATGAGTGCTGCCGGCACTGGGGAACTACAGTTCATTGAGGGAACCATGAATGCCAACATGTACTGTGACATACTGAAGCAGAGCATGACCCCCTCCCTTTGGAGATTGGGCTGCAGAACAGTATTCCAACATGATAATGACCCCAAACAAACGTCCAAAACAACCACTGTCTTGCTAAAGAAGCTGAGGTTAAAGGTGATGGACTGGCCAAACATGTCTCCAGACCTACACTCTATTGAGCGTTTGTGGGACATCCTGAAATGAAAGGTGGAGGTGCGCAAGGTCTCTAACATCCACCACCTCTGTGATGTTGTCATGGATAAGTGGATGAGGACTTTAGTGGTAACCTGTGAAGTTCTGGTTAACTCTATGCCCAAGAGGGTTAAGGCAGTGCTGGAAAATAATGGTGGTCACACAAAATATTGACACTTTGGCCCCGATTTGGACATTGTCACTATAATGTGTACTCACTTTTGTTGCCAGCAGTTTAGACATTAATGGCTGTGTGTTGCATTGCTTTGAGGGGACAGCACATTTACACTGTTATACAAGCTGTATACTCACTGCTTTACATTGTAGCCAAGCATCATTTCTCCAGTGTTGTCACATGAAAAGATATACTAAAATATTTATGAAATGTGAGGGGTGTACTCACTTCCGTGATATGCTTGATTTCAAGACTCAGAACTACAAATCACATTTAGGCTCCAGCAAAAAACCTACAAAGTATCACACTGGGGTCCTACCAGAGCTTGCAACTGAGTTATTCAAAACTGATTATACTAGTAACTTATTCACTCATGGAATTAAATATGTAGAACTGAAAGGCATCCCAAACATCATCAAGTCCAATCCTTTCCCATTGCAAGAAATCCCAGTTAAAGCATCCTTGCAAAAGGGTGATCCAATTCCTGTTTAAAAATGTCTAGTGAAGAAGAGTCCACCAACCTTTGAGGCAATCTTCTGCTGTTGAACTGTTCTTATCCTAAAGTATGTTTAATTGCACTATCTGTTTTTGTAAATGGTTCATATCTTGGCTTTTGGAGCTCCAGAAAGCAAGCTTGCGCGATCTTCCGCGTGTCAGCTTTTGACAGCTGGTAGTCATCATACTGCCTCTTAATCCTCTCTTCTCTAGGTTATTTTATTTGTTCGTTCATTCGTTCATTCGTTCATTCATTCATTCATTCATTCATTCATTCATTCATTCATTCATTCATTCATTCATTTAACTTATATACTGTCCATCTAGAACGCGTCTACTCTGGGCGGTTTACCTAAAGCATAAAAAATAAACTAAAGGTAAAATCCGAATTAATTGCAGAGTCCAAGATGGAAAAAGGAGGGGAGGATTAATTGCAGAGTCCAAGATGGAAAAAGGGGGGGGGGAGAAATAGGCTAGGTGATGGCTGTAGTGAAGGCCTGCCTGTATAGCCATGTCTTCAGATTGGTCTTGAAGGCTCTCAGTGAGTATGTCTTCAGATTGGTCTTGAAGGCTCTCACTGAGTGGGCCAGGTGGATCTCTGCAGGTAAGTTGTTCCAGAGGAGAGGGGCCACTGCCGATTTTTAGTTATTTCCCTTCAGACCTCACTTGGTGTTAGGCCCCTCAGCCATCCGGCCTGACTGGAACAGGTGATATGGGTTCTCCCAATCATTTCTCATAGGGCTTCACTTCCACACTCTTTACAATCCTGATCACCCACTTCTGGGTCCATTTGTCAAATAAGGTAATCAGATGAGGCAGCAAGTTTTGCAATGTCATGAAAAGGCAGCATATTTAATTTAATTCAATTTATTATCTACCTGTCCTGCCAAAATAATCTGATTGGCCCTAGGCCGCAAAATGCTGTGGTCTGGCCTGTTTCTGCATGCGGGGACCATAGCACATGTTCAAATCAGCTCTTTTGATTTTTGACTGATGCACTTTTGTTCTGATTCAAGAACTTGCATTTCCAAGGCTCTGGGCTTTTACAACAACCATGAAATCTAGCCTGAGTCAACTATGATGTATTACATACTAAATCAAGAAGTTTCTATTCCTCCCTACAAAGCCTGTAATAACCGGCTAGGTTCCTTTCAGCTCTAATTTGCTTGATCTCACAAACAGCAAAGAGAGATCAGTTCTGCTATCCAGAGGCCAAGGCATTCTCAGACGTTAGGAATTAAAATGCAAGAAGGAGCTGTGAGCAGTTTCTCTTGCATATGCCATATGAAGAGAAAGGAACAGCCCCATTAGCCATTTATGAAGTCATTAGAAGACAATGGCCATTCTTATGCTTTCCCCTTTCTTACATTAAATGTGCAGTAGCTGTGAATGCATTAACACTTACACGCTGCCCTAAGTGGCTGCTCACTGGAAACTAGAACAGCCGAAATTTGAATATTGTGAACTGAAGCATGCCGCAGGATGCTTCCTTTCATTGTCCATGGATTCTGTTTCTCATGGCTCACTAAAAACAACCCTATACCATATGGCAATACATAACAGAAATGGAAACATGGCAATCAACAGAATCATAATGTGTGTGAGCACAGTGTGCATGCAGTCAGCATGAGTAACATTCCAACAAGTATGTGCTATGCCCCGGAAATGGTTATATTTCCAGTATTCTTTCCCTTTCACTTACTAGGGTCTTTATGGGCTCTGTGGCACTCTTGGATATGTTGTGGTGATTAGCAAGTCTTGAGCTTAATGAGAGGGTAATGTCATGTTTAGTGGAGGGAAACTTGAGTGGGTGGGGGAGTTTGAGAACCAAAAGGGAATATCAGTAGGGATGGGAAAATCTCTTGGTCTCAGTTTTGCTACACATTCTCCAAATCCCATCTGCAGTTTCTTCCTGTTCTTGTTCCTCACCAGCTCTGAGACTTTGTGTGTGTGTGTGTGTGTGTGTTTAAACATTTTTTGCTTGACTTACACATTTCTGACAAGTTTATTTTGTGTGTTTGTGTGTTTTCAACTGTGTTATCTGCTTGTAGGGCCCAAAGCAGTGGCTCAAATTCCAAGAAGCATTTGGAAGAAAGTTCTTGATATTGCTATCTGACAATGAAAGGAACCGCCCTACTGGGTGGTAGATTTTTCATCATAGGATGCTTATAAAACAGAGATTGAATGGCCTTCTTCCAGGGATGTTTTAACTGCAGATTTCCTGCTTTTCAGGGGATTGAGCTTTTAGGATAGCTTCCAGCTCTAGAATTAAATGTTCCCATGATTTATTCATGCTCTCATTCATGTTCACTTTTTTTCCTTCTCCCCTGCATACCCCACCTGCATATGTGGGTCTATGGAAAGGTGTATCCCTAAAGATTGTGAGGGCTTTTTTGAATATCTATTTATTTACTGAACATTTAAAAAGTATTTAAAAGATCCTTCCTGTCCGCAAGCTTGATACAAAAAGGAAAGGGGGAAGAGAGAGAAAAGAGGAGGGAATAGTCTTTGGAATGACTCTGCTTCTCGCTATAACTCCCTTGATGGAATCTGCTAGAATGGATGCTTGACAGCTGTGGGATTTGTTTGACAAAACTGGTTTTGTTGTTGTTGTTGTTGTTTTGTATACTGAAGAACTTGAATGAATATCAGTCATGATGTCACCTAAAGCAGCCATTTTAGAGCGTAGGGACCCTTTGGGGCACAAACGTACTTGTCTATACATTTCCTATACATTGCCTCATGTCTATTGAAGCCCCTTCTCTGCTGTTTAATTTTTGTTGCACGTTCCTCTTCTTCTTTTTCTTCAGCACATATCTCAGAAATAGAACACTATTTTATGTAATCACATTCATTACCAAAAAAGAAAAAGGTAAAGGTAAAGGTTCCCCTTGACATTTAGACCAATTGTGTCTGACTCTAGGGGGCAGTGCTCATCCCCGTTTCCAAGCCGTAGCGCCAGCATTTGTCCGAAGGTAGTTTCCGTGGTCACATGGCCAGTGCGACTAGACACGGAACGCTGTTACCTTCCCACCGAGGTGGTACCTATTTATCTACTTGCATTTTTACATGCTTTCGAACTGCTAGGTTGGCAGGAAAGAAGAAACAAGTGCCCCCCAAATGATATAAGAATAAACTTGCATAAAATTTGTATGAAAATTTGTAGATACAGAAAGTTTTAGATACAGATTTAAACAGATATGTATATGTATACTGTAGGGGGAGCTGCCAACTCTTAATATGTAACCTCAAGACTGTTGCTTTCTCTTCCTGTGCTTCTCTAAACTGGATTTGGATCAGGCAGGGAATTAAATAGAGGATGCCTTCAAGTGGACTGTCCTCTGGTAGACCTTCAAATAGAGGACAGTCATCAGATACATAGGTGCCCTGATTATAAGTGGAACGTAAAACAAAATTTTGCAATGTGTTTACAGGGTTTACAGCAGAGGTGGGCAATTAATTTCTATAGGGGGGGCCACATGAAAAATCTGAACTGTGTTCGGGGGCCGAACCAACTTTACTTAAAAATAAAATGAAACAGTGATGTTATGATTGTTTTTATCTTAAACTTGTTAATCTTAACAAATACTAAAGAGGTTTTTTTTTGCAGTATGTTAAATATAAGCAACTGATCAACTTTAGACAAAAAGCTATAAATGGTTTTGATGTCCGGCGGGCTGGACGGGAGCGGTTCGTGGGTCGTACTTTGCCCAGGTCTGGTTTACAGGGTTCCAGCTATCCCATTCTATCCTTCACTCCTCTAGTGACAACTAGGTAGTACTGAAGATTTTAAAATTGTTAATGTTGTTAAGCTCTAAAGGAGCTAGGCAGTCTGCCCTTGAAATCTGACGCTGCAACAGTCTCTCTTGGTATGTTAATGCCATGGGCCTACAGTCTATAAATAAACAAACCCATACATTGGAAGAACACTATTCATCTCTAGTTAAATCATTCCAAGGAAACCAGACCTCTGCCCAAACCAACATTCACTCCTGTAGTTTTCACCACTTGGAAAATGGGAGAGGGGGTGGAGGTTGTGATAAACCTGGCTCCCAGCAACAGGTAAGGAGGAGAAGGGGTAAAGGACTGATGGAGGGGCAACAGAGCAAGAAGGCAGCCATAGTAAGTGCTTTTATGGCTTTTGTGTTTTTAAGAGACTTGGCATGATGGTCACAGCTGGCAACCTGAAGGATGAGGCATCAGGAGAGCACAGTGAAGACTGCAGCACAGATGCTGCCTTTTAACTGCATGGCTGCACTAAAACCGCACAGAAAGCAGATCTGAAGCATAATGAGGGTGAATTATTGAGATTCAGTGAGGAAAATACAGCCTAGTGCTCTATAAAACACCAAAAGGAAGCCCAGCAATATGGAAAAGCTATGCTACCATCTAGAGGACGAAGTGTGTAGTGTCTTCTCTTGCTTACCCACTTCTACAGACAAGGTAAGAGCCGGAAATCTCAGAATCTTTCATTTTAAAGGGCAAATTAAAAAAGGAGGTAAGTTCTGAGGTGAAGGGGAAGAAGGTCTGGGTAGCCACCATGATCAGGCATTGAGCCTCCAGGTGGAAATCCAACCTGTGTGCTGCTACCAAGGTTCAGCTACAGCAACAAATTTGTTAGATAGCATGACAATTAAGTAAAGAAATCACTTCAATAGCAGGATGCCAGAACAACCCATGTGGTGAGTGAGAATTGCTATGAAAGTTCTTGAGTCTAAGCACTTGGCCTCTCTGCTTATGACTAGGCCTCACCTAGACCTGCCTTGCCTTTTTCCCCCATGATCTTGCTTCCTCATACAGAAGAAACAAAAATAACTGTGTTGGGTTTATGTATAACCTAAGCAAGGTGCAACTTACAAATATAAAACAAGGTTTTTTCAAGCCCGTGTTTTACATAATTCACATTTGAGGGGGTCCTATTAAATATGACATAGTTTAGAGCCTTAGCATATCTTAATCTGCCTCTAGTGAGCAAGGCAGTTGGCTAGATAGCTCAATATGTTTGAGTTAGGTTGTTCAACTCCTCACTAAGGCTCCTAGGGTAAGAGCCAGCCTGAGAAGCCTTGGGCAAGCTGTACAGTACTAGCATGTCACCAGAGGAAAGGAATGAGTACTTTCTACCTAGGAAGCCTGGAAATGGGCTGCTGTACATCAAAATTGACTTGATGACATGCAATTATTGTCATTTAGTAAGCAATGCCTGGATACTTTCCCTGTACAACTGGCAATATGGGAGTGATTTCTGTGAAGAATGATATCCCACATTTTCAAGATTTATTTATTTATTTATTTATTTTTATTATTGGATTTTTACCCCGCCATTCTAGACAGAAGCTTTATTTTGAGGCTTGACTTTTGAAAGCACCCTATATTTAAGATAGCTTAAATTAATAATACAAAGGCCAGGAGTATAGCCTTTCACCACACACAGGGACACAAAGTGCCAACTAGTAGAAGATGCCCATACAGTCAGCCCCACACAGATGCTCAATGGTTTACATATATTTTCAAGCATAGCTTGAACATCCAATATGAAAGCAGTTCCCATATCATTGGCTGTTTGTAAGGAGACTCTAGTCTGCCTCTAGTAGGGGACGTTGGTACCACATCTTACATTTCAAAAGCAGAAATCTATGAAACAAAAAACAATAGGAAGAAACAACAGTCACTCACCTTTTCCATGTCATCCCAGTTAGTGATAATCCCATGTTCAATGGGATATTTCAGGGTCAGGATTCCTCTTTTACTCTGCGCTTCATCCCCGACATAACTGTCTTTCTGGCCCATTCCTACCATTACCCCCTACAAAATTAAGTGACCCAAAGAAGAAGAAAATATCAATATGACTTTAACCATTTTACTAAGCATAGCCTCTGCTGTAATTTCTGAATCCTCCCTTCCCCCTGTTCCCCTCAGACTGAGGTGAGAAATGTACATTTATATGCTGTTCCAATTTGTGTCTTGTTTTGACAGTTTCATATCACAATATTCAGTGCCTTACTGTGCACAATCTGTTCTCACCTTACTGAAAGGGTCATATTTTTCTAACAGCATTGAAAGACACTTATAACTATACAACTTAGAGACTATAGTTAATGATAAGTTTATAAAGTCTAGTATTCACTTTACTGCCTATTTGATTATTCAAGGCAGAAGAAATACAATTTCTATAGAAATCATCCTGCAAAAATGATGGGTTTTGCTTTAGTGTGAGAGCATTAAAAGTATCATTTACATGTATTTACTTGGAAGTAAGTCTTGCTTCAGTATGGCTCATTCCCAAGCAAGTGTGCACTAGATTTTACCCACCATAATCCCAAATTACAAATCTCTGAAAGAAACCCCATCAAACATACTGTGACATACTTCAAAGTAAACAAAATATGTAGGATTGAAATATAATCCTATCATTAAATAGAATGTATAGCTTTCTATCTTTGGATGAATTCTACCCCTGCTCAAAACATTCCTCAGAAATCCTCATTAACAGCCTATTTATATTCCAGTTATTTGACTTCATTTTTAAAGGCTTTATAGTATCTGGAAATGTTGAAGCTGCTTCACCCTTATTAGCTTCCATTTTAAAAACACCAGTTCAAATTATTCAATGTTGTTATACACTTTGGATTGCTTTCTATAAAGCTGGCTTGTTCAGATGGCAGATTATTAAACAGTATGATTGAAAAGCTGCTAATGACTACATCCAGTCAATTAACTCTTTTTCTGTTTCTTTAATTTTCCCCATCTTGGTAATGTATATAGAAATAATTTGTAGGATTTTATTATGTATGTCTAGTATTATCTTTTATCTATGTAAGCTGCCCCGAGTAGACATTGTCTAGGAGGGCAGGGTATAAGTCTAATAAAAGTAAAGTAAAAAGTAAAGTATGCTAATGACTACATCCAGTCAATTAACTCTTTTTCTGTTTCTTTAATTTTCCCCATCTTGGTAATGTATATAGAAATAATTTGTAGGATTTTATTATGTATGTCTAGTATTATCTTTTATCTATGTAAGCTGCCCCGAGTAGACATTGTCTAGGAGGGCAGGGTATAAGTCTAATAAAAGTAAAGTAAAAAGTAAAGTAAAAAGTAAACGAGTAGACATTGTCTAGGGGGGCGGGGTATGTCTAATAAAAGTAAAGTAAAAAGTAAAGCGCATGATACCTATAGAGATGTTGATATTTGTACAGTTGTACATTATTATTCATTTTTAAAATAAAAATAATTATTTTAAGGGGCAACTTGCAAGAAATACGCCTTACAGTCAGTACACAAGGGAGTCTGACAATGAAATGAAATAGATTTAATGGGCAATGCTCATTCTATTTCCTTAGGGTTGTACTAATTAGCTGATCAAATTGGCTTCCACTGTGTATATTTTTAGTAGACATTCATTAATTTCATGGTCAGCTGTGTCTTTATGATGGTCCTGAATTCTGGCCATTATTCAGCATCTCAACAAATAAGGCTAACCAAAATTAATTGCATAGGCTATGTGACATAACATCTGAAATATTTCATGCATTGCTAAAAATTCTTTAATGCTTTTTAGGATGTAAAAAAAGGGGAAACATTTAAAAAAGTAAGAATTGCCAAGACATCAGATGTTGTTGCTGTTGTTTAGATTAACACAGTTAAATGCAGAATCCAAACTTTAAACTCTGGTCCATTGTAAGTTTGGCAAGTTGAAACAAGCTTGCTTCACAAACTATGGTATGAAGTTGGCACATTTTGACGAGCCATAGTTTAGATCAGTGGTTCTTAACCTTTGTTACTCGGATGTTTTTGAACTGCAACTCCCAGAAACCCCAGCCAGCACAGTTGGTGGTGAAGGCTTCTGGGAGTTGCAGTCCAAAACTCCTGAGTAACCCAAGGTTAAGAACCAGTGGTTTAGATCAACTAAAGTTTGTTAAGGTTTGGACAATGTGACAAACTGTGTGTAATGTGAAATAGAAAGAATAGCTGTTGAACTCTTCTTCATGTCTGCATGGGAAGAGCAAAGTTTTTTTTCCTCCTTCCTTCCATGCAACACATTATCTATCATAGTAACTGTCAAGTGGCTTGGAAAAATGGCTTGCATGTGGTAGAAAGCCCCTGCTACATCGGTAGTTGGTGCCGTTTTCTGATAGGACATTTTATAAAAATTAACCTGGTGCCGAGGTCGTCCAACGATGGATGGAAAAACAGCCCGTGGAGCATCATCTCCTGCAAATCCAGCTTTGCAAAGGCCAGAACCATTATCACAGACAAGAGCTGTGGTTTCATCTTCATCGCACATGGCTGCTCACAGTCCTAAGCTAGAAGCAACAGTTCAGAAGAACCTCAGGGAAAGTAGGTCAGGGTTATTTGGAAACTTTAACTAGAACACAATTATTTCAAAACAAGCAGTGATGCTCAGTAACATCAGCAAATATATCAATGAGCCCATTGCTTTTAACACCCATACATTTCCAGGCTCACATACCCTATAAAGTAATGATTCCTAAGTAGAGGTGGGCACAAACTGGTGGTTCAGTGGTTCGTGCTGGTTTGTTTATCAACCAAACAGGTGTTCAAAGCCCAACTTGAAGGCACTGTTGTGGCTTTCCTGCCCTGCCTCCTCCAGGCAGTGCCTCTGAGTGGGAGCCCACCAGAGGAGGTGGGGCTTTGAAGCACCGAACACCTGTTCAGCCAATAAACAAACGGGCACAAACCACTGAACCAGCGGTTCATGCCTATCGCTATTCCTGACATAGAAGGTCTCAAAATATACTAGAACATCTCTCAAAGGCTCCTCTGCGCTCCCTGAAAAATCTTGCTCCAAATTTTCCACACCCTTTAAAATGAAGGGGACATAACATGGGGAATGGGACTTGGTGAAAATCACCTCTTTCTCTTCCGCCAGTGGAGGTTTCTGCTGGACCAAATAGAGTACTAGTTAATAGTACTTTGGCAGGAGCTAAAGAGATGAAGGAAGCATTGAGAGGTGGGTGAACAGGCTTAAAAGAAGACCTCCTCAAAGAGAGAGGAATGTACAGTATCAGAGAAGTGGCATGTGAAATAGGAGTGATGCATTCAAGGCAGACAAATTGTAACAGAGAGAGTAGAGTTAGAAGAGATTAAGAGTTAGCATCAGGAATTGCTGGGAAATGCAGAAGAAAACAACCTTCCTGTTTTCAACATGTGTTCAGGATGATTAGATAAGTTGAGAAAAAGTGAGAGGCCCTGCGTCCAAGCAATGCACATTCGGTTAAATCTCTCTGTAGAGTTGATGGGTACACAACTAACTGTTTTTGTGTAACACTTTCTTCCCTGCATTACCAGGGATCCTGTATGTTCCAGTGACATGGAAAAGCTATGTGGAAAGAGAAAACTGATGAACATACACTCATGTATACAAATGACCTTTCCCTTCTCAGATGTTCATGCTTAATATGTGGGCATCAAGGGGAGGGGCTACTGGTCCCACTGTTCGTCTGGAGTCCTCCTGTAATTAATAATTGAAAGATGTTTATCTCTCTCAGATAATGGACCAGTACTCGTTACCTTGGAAATAGACAGATATTCAGATTAAGATTTCAGATTGACATTGGGATCTTTTATATGAAAAGAGACACTCTTCTCTTCTAGAGAAGTGTCCCTAGCCCCCAGAGGAAATCAAAATTCTCAGCACTACCACAGCTTGGAAAGTTACTTTTACTTTAAAAAAAAAACAATTTCCCTCATTACTTATTGCAGTGTTGTTGTTTTTAAGTTGACTCCTACTCATGGTTCATTGTGGTGTTGCTGCATAACCTGTTTTTTTTTCATTAAAAATAAAATTCACTATTAATAAGAGGATGGCATGAAAGCTGAAAAATTCCACTCAAAATCTCCTAAAGGTAGCAAGGTAACTAGAAGAGTACTAGAAACATTTCTTATTACATCACAACAAAAACACCCCAGTAGCTTTGTTCGTAATGTAACTTTGTTCAACCTTTCCATCCCAAGTAACTTCTTAGAGGTAACAGCATTATTTGTGAGTCATTTAGTGAGATTATACAAATGACCATCTTAGCCATACTGCAGAGTAACTTCTTAGAGGTAACTGCATTATTTGTGAGTCATTTAGTGAGATTATACAAATGACCATCTTAGCCATAATGCAGGATATTACTTATACACATGAACTTCTTGTATTTTTTCATATTGGAACGGTGGCTGCAAGTCGAAAAGTCTGTAGGTCGAATCTCCATTGACCAACAATGCATTGAAAACCAATTAATCCCATAACCAGCGGTTTTTATTCTATTTTTGTTCCATTTTGGTTTTTTTCAGGTCTGAAAGTCGATTCTCCGGCTGTAAGTCGAATCTAAATTTTGTGGTCAGAGAAGTCTGTAACTCGAAAAGTCTGTAAGTCGAGCCATCTGTAAGTTGAGGGTCCACTGTACTTATACACATGTACTTCTTGTATTTTTGGGGTACAGATTTCTCCTTTTTGACACAGGCTATCCACAGGTGGCACTCTTGAATATTTCAGACCATTAAAAGCTGCGACTATGAAGTGCACACATATTATTCCACACTGGCAATAAAGAAACAGTTTTCCCTCCCCAGAATGTCTCCATTATCCTTAGTGATATAAACAGTCTTAGTAGGAAAGCTCTAAAAATAGATCTTTTATGGAAAGCTTCGAAAAGCATTGGTTAATGTTTTGCAATGGCAGCTGCTCCTGTTAAGTGCTTACTTACAAGAACTATGCTATATTTGTGAAGTGTGAATTCCTTATCAAAAGAACTGTTCGGGGAAGTGCAGTGAGATATGGCTGGTTCCAGAAACAGCATGGACATGTGACTTTTGTTTGGGAGTCTTTAATTCCAATATATAAGGACAGGGTGCTTCCCACCACTTATGCCATTCTTAGGGAACCAGTCTGTGTCTGGAAGGTTGGAATCAAAGCCTTGAAATGCCACTGTTTGAATATAGTGCCCAGAATCTCTAGCCAGACTGCAGTTTTACCAAGCTCTAGACACAAGGATTCTGCAACAAGCTCTGTTTTCTGGGGACATATAGATGTTTTAATCTTGCACCCAAACCTAAAACACTCCTGTTAGTGTTCAGCATGGTTCCTGCACAGCAATGGACTGAACAGAAAGAATAACAATTTTGCCACAGAACAAGCATTGTTTGTATGTTATCTCAAATGAAGACATCATGATTTTTCTGTCACTTCCAAGAGAAAATGTCAAATTAACAGAGTTGTACGATATTTTGTGAGCCATTAGATGATGCACCACAAACTATGCAAACCAGTCTTCCACTGATTGACTGATTGATTGATTGTGTGTGAATGTTATGCTTTCTGTGGAGTGACATTGTTTGGCTTGTGAGTCTCTACACTGATCTCAATAGCTCTCTGACAACTAGCATGCTTAATTGTAGAAATTGATTCCTTTGAATGTGTAGCTTTGATAAAGACACCGAGGTGTTCCAAGATGGCGCCGCGGGCAGACGCACCATGTACAGCTCCGGCGTAATCTCTACATTCGGCTGATTATTAAAACAAACAGGAGCTGCCCCCCTACTTTCTAGTTTCTGTTTCTCCTCGGGGGCCACACACGTGGAAATATGGGGAAGAGGAGAAGATACAAACATCCTCACAGCCAAGAGAATTCGCCGGCCAAGTCATCTAAACAGAGGCGGTTGGAAGATTGCCCGACATGGTCAGACGCCGCTGATCCAGGGGGTGAGTCTGCCAAACCTGGCTTTCCTGGGTTCCCTAGCAGAGACTTTGCAGAGGACCAGCTGTCTCCATCCTCGACTTATCAAGTCAAACAGCTCTCACTGAATGAGAGCGTCTTTAGCAATTACTTTTTATCTCTGCTCGGCGAGTACTGTGTAATCACTGGAAAGACTATTACATTTATATGCCAGCAGCTTAACTCTATCATAGCCCAGCTGGACCTGATTAATAAGACCATGCTGCCCACATCCTCATGTCTTGAACTAAACTCCGGATTCCACCTTAATCGCTCAGATAGAACAGCAAAAGCTACCGCTCCTGACAATCAGACGTGTGCAGAGGTCTCCAAGGGAACAAGCCGCTGCCTAATGAGAAATCAAATTGTGCTAGAGGTCTGGGACACCCCTCTAAACAAGGGCAGATGGTCAAACAAGCAACGCGTGCTCAACTCACTGAGCAGTCTCTTATCCTTGGACAATCACGGGATCGATCTCTTGGAGGCGACACGTCTCCCGCGGTCTTCCTGGCGGCCTACGTGTGCTGCTGAAGTTCCAAAGCCTCAGAATTCCCCGACTACTTCATGAGAAAAAATATCTTCTTGAATTTTACAATATATTCCTGCGCAGAGTGTTCAGCGACATGCCAATTAAATCTCTGATTCCAGCGAACGTGCTGAACCGCTCCTTATCATCTGCCTCCATATCTACAAGGCCAAGTCTTGGACAGCTGCCCAGCTTGCAGCCAAGAGACAACGGCCTTCAGAATACAAGCTCCCAAGCTGATTTTCCACCTGGCAAGAGCATAGGAGCTCTTTCCTTATTATCTGAACTAAAAGCAGCAACCAACAACATTGAAAGCTCCTTAGTCAAGCTAAAATCCTTTCATCCTGAGCCC